TGCGTCTACCTAAAAAAATATCTCAAGCTATAATACTTTTCTCCATATCACAAAACTCCCAACTAAAAGCAATATGATTTAATTTTACCCAGGTGTGTATACAATGCATTGCCATTTACATTTTTCTTACAGTTTCACAAGAACAAATGCCTCCATTTGTTTAGCATTAAACCATTTCAGCATTATTTTCACTGCAAGTAGTGTCTTTAACCATGAAGCCCTAAAGTGTGAGGGCGTTAGCAGTTACAACCGTTACCCCAGCGCCTAAGGGGTGATTAGAATCGTTAGGACGAGAATAGTTCTAGAAAATGGCTGCAAAGGGTAGTAGTGCTACAACCGTTACTTGCTTACTTTTCTTTACACAATAAGGCTTGGTATCATTTTGATTTTAGCAGATTAAGTTTCTTGTCTTTTTAGTGTTGTTTTCAATTCAATATCCAGAGTACGTTTATTTCAATAATTTTATGATTGGACATTCATCTGTTTAACCAAGCTTGTGCAATTCTAAACAACTATGCTTAGATATTGTCTTAAACCTTAGTCGTCCTTGGTTTAAGTGTGGAAATGAAATTGTCATGTATACTTCGATAAAATAAAGATATAATTTATCTTTTAATAGTACTCGGTTTTAATCGGTTTTAACATAATAAGTCTCCTGAAAAGAGTGTGCAATGTATAACAACAGTATAAAACATGGTATGATTGAAGTGATATGAAAGGGATTGGAGTGATATGGATGATGATATGTAAGTGGGTTATACTATGTTAGATGTGGTGTCTTAGCACTAGTTTTCCAATGATTTAGTTTTAAACGTGAGCTTTAACAAAGATTAACAATTATTAGGATCAATTTTGCTTTCCTTTAGGGTAAAAAAAAAACTTATTGTGACATAATTCTGCGTACTAAACACGCCAGTATTCCAAAAAACTGTTTTCAATTATTGTGATTACTTATGTTTTAGCATTGTACGCGTTGGTCCTAATTAAAAGGAAAATATTAAACACATCATCCAATACTATTACAACTACTATAGTAGGCCTATCACTGTACTTTAGTAATATAGTATATATGTATATAATACTGCAATTACACCTTTACAAGACTTTAAATATGTTTACAAGTGTTACAATGGCGATAAATTTATTTCAACCAGTCACCACAAGCTCCAATCGGAATCTTCGATCATCATTTTAACATGTTGTTGGTTATACATTTACAGTCTTCCAAATGTTTGCAGTACAATATAAACATGTCGAATTGTGCTCGAGTACGTAACTTAGTACATCTCTGTATAAGTTAATTAATACTTAGGTTTCGAAGATAAATAGTTATTTGTTACTGTTGTTGTTAGTTATTAGTTGTTGTTGTTGTGTATTGCTTTGATGCAAATGAGAGAAACGTTTACGCACGAACCTTAGGCGAGTGTGGAAAGTTTCTCGAGTGCAGCAAATGCACTTTGCGCTCGTGTTACATTATATTTTTCCTACAGTTACTATAGAGCATGGAACTAATTAGTTTTTCAAACACTAAACAACACGTTTGAGGTTAGGTTAAATCCAAGATCGCACAAGCAGATCTTGGTCGTAGTATTTTTCAAGCCAACTTATTTTAAAGCGTACACGTATTACGTGCCTAATAAAAGAACACTGCTTTTGTTGTTTGGTTGGAATACTAGAGCGGGAAAAAAATGAGTGCGGCAATAGTATGCACTATTTATTTATTTATTTATTTTTGATTGGTGGCCATTCTGGATTACCACGTCTCCTGCGGATTGGAAGCGAGGCTGCATCGTACATTGACTTTTTCAATGAATCAACTTCATCTTTCAAACGCAAGATTATGGTTAAATATTCTTTTTTCCAGCATTAAACAAAAATGTTAAATTACAAATCTTTCAGGTATCATCTTAACTCATTATTTATTTCTCATCGCTCTCAGCTCTGTATTATACCTTCTTTGCATATACCGTTTCCTCGTCGTTTTTACTTGTCTCCATGGTTATTCACTTCAAATATTTATCATTGTTTTAATATTATTTATTGTTCTCACAAAAATATTTATACATCTGTTTATTGTTATTCATTGTTATTTATATCGTTCATTGTTATCTCATTGTTATTTGTATTGTTTATTGTTCTCATAAAAATATTTATCATGTTTATTGTTATTTCATTGTTATTTATATTATTTATTGTTTTCTAGGTTAGTCCATGTGCCATTTATTGTATACATATCTTCGTCATTCATTTAACTATGTACTTGCTTATCGTTTCTCAGTTCTCTCTTTGTCCAAGTTTTTCACATGTATACTTTACTCTTATTATTGTTACATTTGAAATTCCTTTCATTGTTATTATTATTATTATTTTGGATTATCTAGTCATAATGAGCAATTTACAACTCAATCAAACTGTAAAATTGGTGTAAATCCGTTGGCAAATAAATAAATAAATAGTAAAATGAGTGTGGCAAAAGTAAGAAAATACAGCAATCAGCTACTTTGCGTGCTATAATCAGTACAAGAAAGCCCCCTTTGTCAGGTAACTGTGGGAAAACGTAATTATTGCATCAGAGTTTCTTTAATCAACGGGCGAGTTTTATGTTTTATCTTTTGGTGATGCAGGTAGCAAACTAGGTTAATATGAAAGCACTCGTAGCATTATGGGATGAGATCTAGGCCAACTGTGTAGTCTTACCTCCCAGATATTGGTTTTAGAAAAATATAATTCTTAAAATTAAAATTTTATGGACCGCCATTTCCCAACGAATCCTGGATAAATTATTTCTAAGTGGTCCTTATCAATGTACTGTATTAGGTAATCGTTTTGTACATTTGGAACTGGATGAAATTTAAAGAAGGGAAAAATCCAAAATGCTATATTTGTTTTTTATGTGCTATGAAAATTCCAAAATTAATGTTTTAATATTATATGTATGCCTATTATTGACCATTGACGATCATTTAAAGAAGTAATGCATAAACAACTATTAACACGAAATTAATTCAGTTGAAATTGAAACTAGTAAAACTAATTTGAGTTTGTCTAAAATTGTCAATTAATTTAATTTTTGATTTGTTGTATGTATTTATTTTTTTTTTAGTTAAATTTGTTTTTACTAAAGTTTATTTGTACTATTGGGAATTTAAACTAACTATGTATTTTAAAAAATTCATGTAACAATGTGGTTTTTTTCTATTGAAATGTTTTCCTCTCACATTGATATCACTTATATCATGGATTTATTTATTAATTATTAAGTTTTGTTCCGTAAATATTATTAGTTCTCCTTTCAATAAACTAAAGTTTTATGTTGTGCCTTTGGTAAATATGCTAATGCATTGTATTTAATTCGATGTATTACGTCTTACTTAGTCTAAACTAGTGCTTGTTTTGAATTGCTTACATTAGAAAATATAGTAATTTACTAAGCTTTTGTATCCAAAGAGCTCTTTACCTCATTGAACAAAACAACTGGATAGAGTTCAAAATGGTGCGACAAATTAGGTATAACGAAAAAAGTCAGATATTATGTAATCGTTTTTTTCTAAGTCTGTACTGTGGTATTTTAAGTTTATGAAATAAATTGTTGTATTTGTTTTATATTCTAGAGGGATCTGCATTTAATTTTAGATTAAATCTCATATAGGGTTTATTTATTTATTGCAACTGATTTCGTCAATTTATAATTGAATTACATTATATGAGTAACTCATAATGACTGAGCAGACTAATATAAATATGCCGAGGATAAATATACTAAGTAACAATGCTAAAAACTAGGTCAGTAAAAAAACTAGACCTAGGAGTAACAAGAAATAAAACCAACTCATTGGTGAACCTCGTATACTATTTTTAGGTCAACCTATTAAAAAAGTTAAACAAGTATGATCAAACTCTTGGAACACACCATTAATAAATTGGTCTTATCATCTTATATTCGTATCTCTGCTGGATATTTTTCATAGGTAAATAGTACCTATATTAAAGTAAGTCTAAAAAATCACAACAAAGACGATTGAGACTAACCTAGAAAAGATAAGGATCAATAATAATTTATATTTGAAGTGATAAACATAATACCGTAGTGACAGGGCAATACAATAAGAAAACAGTACATGCAATGGACGGACAATAGAGCTAGGAACGATGAGAAATAAATAATACAATAAAAGACGATACCTAATACATTTACGTTTAATACTAAAATAAGGTGTATTTTGCTAGAAGTGCATGCTTGAAGGATGCATGTGACACATTAAACTCATTTACTCATTTATTTTATATAATCTTAATGATATATTAAAGCAAAAGCCTGGAAAGAAATATTCTTTCTCAAGATTTCTTTACAATTCAAACTGACTTCTTAATTAAAACGCTCGATTTAAAACTCTCAACTTTTCCTTTTCAGAATCTTATCAATAGAAACTCTGTCTGTGTCTTTACTTCAACAATTGCTAATTTCTAAACTTATTTCGTCTTATTTTCCTCTAAAGCTTCGAGAAGTAACTGATAGAATTTATCGTATTTATTTCCAACGTAAATTCATCGAAGAAACTTTAGTAACTGCAGAAGCCGAAAAACATTATTGGTAGCATGTAGTCAAAAAATGTTGTGATATGTTTTCAGATTTTTCTTATGCTTTTCACTTCCCTAACTCAATTACTCTTCTCTTGGCTCAAAACTCGATCTTGGTTACGACTTTAACATTATTTAAAAGTTTTTCATAAATATTTTCCATCGTAAATGTAAACTCTTTGTCTGAAACTTATGCTTACTGAAAACAATAAACAACAATGATCAACGTTCTAAAACGTTAGCAGGCGAGAAACACACAGTATTTAAGTTTCAAATAAGCTTCAGAATGTACAATAGGATTAATGAAGATATTTAGCAAAATTTTGACGACGGATAGTAACACAACCAAGGGTTTGGCCGATTCTTTGTAAAATTCTTCTACAATTTTTTACCTCGGTTTTAAAGTTTTTCTGGTGTTCCAGCCATGTCAACAAGACGACCTCCTACGAGGACCCTCGCACGGACTGGCAGGAGGAGCCCCCTCAGCCACGGACTGTGGAGCTCACACGACATCCCCTCCTGGGGTTCGGCTTTGTCGCGGGCAGCGAACGTCCCGTCATCGTCAGGTCAGTTGATCATTTTAGGTTCTCAACTCTGTCCAAATTTTAGAAATGGACATTTTTCATTATGAAAGCCATAAATTAACAAATAACGTGTTTTAAGGTAATAATTTCATTGGTAAGTGTATTAATTGTACATCACTACTGGTTTGTTCTTCTAGCTACACGACTGGGTGTCAGAAATCGATTTCTTTCAATATTTTTTTAATCTAGAAAAGCATTAATTAGTGGAAATGTTGATAAGAAATATAAATAGCAATAACTAAACAATTGTGTTAATTACACTGTAATAAAGAGTGTCCCAAAAAAGGTACTCATCTAAACTACTGTTTTTACTTAACTTCTGTTTTAATGGACATCACTCCACAACAATGTTCAGGAATTGTTGAAAACATGCAAAGACGAATGGCATGTGTAATAAACAATGGTGTCACATATGTAGAACCGCTTTAAGATAGTGTAAGTTTGTACAGCTAATAAATAATAATTAATTAATTGCCGTAAAATGATGAGTACCTTTTTTGGGCCAACACGTATTTAAATAGCTTAAATGTGAATTACTGCATTATTTACTTTACAATTTTCAACCCCTCATTTTGTAGAGGATATAAACAATAAGCATATACCTTGCAATGTCGATTAGACTGTCAAATAAAACTGAATGAATGAATGAATGAATGAATGCATGAAAAAGGTGCTTTATTGTACAAATTACATAATAGTCTACCTCCATATGTACAACATATAGAACACTAAATAAAATACATTGGTACTGCTAAAATAAAAACCTAACACTTATTAAACAATGGTCAATGTTGACCGTCTGTTTGGTTGGCAACATAAATGCCTTCTCCTTAACAAAAAACAATTCCAACTGTACAGTAAATATAACAGAACAAAAAGAAAGTCATTTTTTTATACATAAGGAAAAAACTATTAAATAAAGTAACGTCTAACTATGGGTATATGCAGCAGAGAGTCGTCTGTCAAATAAAACTGGTTCGGTAAACGCTCGCTAGATTTTTTAATTTGCCCCAAAACACACAATAACGTTCATTTCATCCTACTGATACACATTTAACATATTTAACTGAAATTGAGTTGCTCCGAGGAAATGATTATTTAAGTAATTTATTGTTTCATCATCCCAATAGCTCAGAACGTAAACAAAAGTAGATTTAAATTAAATATACGTTATTTATACACTCATTGGTGAACCTCATATCCTATTTTTATGTCAACCTATTAAAAGAGTCATACAATTATGATCGAACTCTTGGAACACACCATTAATAAATTGGTCTTGACATTGTATTTTCGTATCTGCTCGATGTAGCTCCTTTATGGCTGTAATCGGTTCCTTTACTGCCAACTTCAGACGTTTTCGATCATCAGTCGAGATATTTATTGTTTCCTTTGTCAACTACCGAGACGACACAGATCGAAATCGGATTTCTTGAGAGGCTGGCTTGAGAAGAGGAAATGTCAATACTTTTAACTAAACTATTCTATACTTACGTGGTATCGATATACATAAGAAAAAAATGTTTAATAGTATAATTTAACATAGAGAGTTATTAATTATTTTCATTTGGTTTCACTTTTTGGACAGATGTTTATATGAGTCCATTACAAGGCCCTACTCCTTAATATTTTTTCGATGAGCAAGAAAATATGTTATTTAAAAATCAAAATTTATCTCAATTTTCTACAATTTACGAAACATTTGACCCCAAATGAAGCTTGGGAATTTATTATCGGACAGATTTCTTTTACTCATGCTACATGACATATTTCTTCAGTGACATTGTGGTTTTATTTTAAAACAAGGAAACAATGGTCCAAGTGGTACTATGTTGTTAAGTCCAAACATTTTGAATATCATATTGAAGAGGATTTTTGGATAAAAATACCTAATTTAACAAGAGAATGATAGACATCAGTATAGTAAATAGTTCAAATAATATTCAAACACACTCACCAAAGTAAATGAATATTAAAATATGGGACATGAAATCCATATGTTATTAAAATCCAATACATAGTACCGAAGTAAAACGTCTTTAACTATTGTTCATCTTGTACATTCCAGAAACTTTTTTTGTAATAACAAATGTTATGTTATGTATAGCCTCAAATATACATTTGTAAAATATCAAAGTATAATATCAGTCAAAGTGTTCTCTCAGACTAAAGAGAAATACTAGCTTCGAATGAAAGAAACATGTAGTCTTTACATTGATCCGCAATAGCTCAAGTGCTTGCTTTACACTTAACATCCTGCTTTGCCTGAGAAGCTCTCTCCACCTCGCAACTTCATCCCATCCTTAGCATAATGACTGCACTAAAAATAGTTTTAATTCCTCACCATACCACTTTTATTTTGATTGTGAATAAAGGTTGTAAGTACTGAATACACAACATAATATTTAAATTCTCATTAATTATTTATTTCATATCTGTCCTTAGACAGAGTTGTTTCTGTAAAATTATTTTGAAAAGATATAATTATTTCAAAACTTCCACTTAAATATTTTTTTTGTACTGTACTTTCAATTAAGAAGATACAACCAAATCTTTGTTCAAACATACAGACTAAATAAACTAGTTGGTTGTTATTTCAAAACGTACACTAAAAATGGTTGATAATTTTAATAATTAAGTTATTGAGATTTAAACAAATTTGTTTTTGAAAATCCAGACCAACCTTTTTCAAGTTTCTGTTTAAATAACGTAAAGAAACATTCCAGCAATCCTCCCAATTCATTTGTTTGCATTTTGCTAAAATATTATTATTTGGAAACACTGCAAATGTTAAAATGTATTGTTTATTTAGTAAAAGGTAGCAAATAAATAATTTCATAAATTGGAAAGCTATCTTACAAGATAGTTAGGTGTCCAGATTTTAAACAAAACGAAAATTCTACTATCATGAAAACTTTAAAATCTTGTTACTGCCTAGACTTTGACGTGGAAATACAATATTAAAAGTACTTTGTGGTTGGCTGACCAGGATTTGCTTTTTAAATAATATAATATATAAGACTTACCGTCTTGAAGCAATCCAGTTTTTGTACTCAGTCCTGTCGTCTGTTGTCTGTCAGTTGAGCACATGTCAAAAGTGAGGTTATGTCGCGACATACAAGTAGGGTAGGCCTACCAAAGTTTATGTTTTCATCTTTTATGTGTAAAATGTGTTGTAAAAAGTTGACAAGAACCAGAATATTCGCATATTTATAATGAATTGACCTCTAGAAGAATGTGCTGAAGATGGCTTTATGAAGCCGAAACAGCTGTACACTGAGTACAAAAACTGGATTGCTTCAAGACGGTAAGTCTTATATATTATAATATTAAAAGATAAACCATCTGCATCAAATGTTGTAATATTTGATGCACTAATAAAGGCCTGTGGGCCCTTTAAGAAAAACATTTTATAAGTTGCTGCCCAAAGTTTTGATACACAATCACTTTTTATTTTCTGGCAGGAAAAAAGTGGAAGTGACGCACGGTTTAAAGAAACATTGTCTTTGGATCAGTTTGATATATTGGCCTGAGAAACAATGTGTTTTATGTAGCCGTTTGTCTGAATAAGGAAACAACCAGTATTATTCTGCTCCTTCACTGTATAAACATAAACAATAGAATAAATATAATATACTGTTTGTTACTAAAAACATCATAAATGGTTAAATTGAAAAATTCAGTTTTCTTTACTATTCCAACTTTTTAATTATGATAAACTAAAAGAGCAGCATGTTCTAAACACTATATTTCACTTCACCCATTAAATCAAATTTTATAAAAGCTTAGATAAAGAAATGCAATAGTGCCGTATATTAAAGGAGGCTAATTTAATTATATTCCCTTTAAATAAGTAAGTACATGTCCTAGTTAATCGTCGTCTAGATGTAAAACTTAACTCAAGTCATGTTCGAACACAAAACCAATGCATTAAAATGTAAATAGGTTATGTTTAGGCTTAACAAGAGAAAAGTGAGATTATCTTACTTGGCATCCAGTGTTTTTAGTGATTGAAACCACGGACGCAGAGAGCGTCTTTGATTTCAATTCTGGCTACATAGAGCCCATTAATCTTTAAGGACGGAATGCCTACTCCAGTTTCTGAAAATAAATTTACAATAATTCAGATACACGATCAATTTATTGAAATAAGCTTAAATTTTAGCGAATTTTTCTATCCATAAACTGTGTAGAACAGGAACCGATGGATCAGGTCATAGTAGATTGAAATTATATTAACAGTTAGGTCCTGGGAAACCGTTATGTGTAAACAAAAGGTTATAAGGATTGGGTAAAGCTACAAATAGCAATAAATGTCCAATCTCAGAATTTCTCCTTGTTCTCTCCATACTTCAAGCTTTCAATTTCCTGTTTGGTCAAGATATGGCACCAATACAAAGGAGTTTGAGGAAATATTGGATATTCAAATTCGTCACCACACATAGATTTTATTTTTTTTATTACTTTTGCTTTATATATTTCTTTGAACGACAGTATAATATATCCCTATGTAAGGAATATTGAAATAAATCTCATATATTCATTCGCTTTATTACAACAACACATTAATATTATATTGGTACTTTTTAAGTTTGATTTACATTTCTTAGAACTGCAGTAAACATTAGGTTATGTAAGTTAACTTTCAAGAAATTTCAGATATTCTCCTTAATCAAAACTACCTACGCATTGATTTTATATTATAACAACGTTTAAATCTTTCTCCGTGAACTGCAGTGTAAACTGGTAGAAACGACAACATATTTTATTTTTGTGTCTAATATATTCATATATTAAACTGTGCTCTCAATAATCAACACTACATATTTTTTCACTAAAACTAATATAGTCCTAATAAGTTTTTGTTTCATTTCTATTCAAACATTGGTGGATACTAAATTAAAAAATGACATTCGATATCCTTATTGATCGAAACTACATATCTATCTATCTATGTATAACTTTTATTACAGTTGTTTTCG